GATTTTTTTATGGGGAGAGCAAAATCACCAAGGGAGAACTGATTAGCAAACACAAAGATGTGTTAGAGAAGGAGCTGGGGAGAGGTGAAGGGCAGGTGCTGTGAGATATTTCAGGATGAGCAGAGCCACATCCACCCCATCCCACTGCTTTCCTTGACAGTTTTTGAGGAAACAACCCCCAGGATGATTTTATATGTTTTATTTTTAAATTTTTTTATCTTTTATTTTATAATTTTAAAAATGTATTTTGAATTTTTTTGCCATTTATTGTGGCAAAATGCTCGGGCTGGTGGTGGCAGCCCTGTGCTCGTGCCTGTGCTTGGTTCAGGTGTCAGATACAGGCAGAGCTGAGGGCTCTGGGAGCTGCCTAAAAACCTCCCTGGTGGCATCGTTGCTGCAGGTTTTAAAAAGGATTTTTTTGCTTGGCTTGAACCTCTTGAAAAAATCCATCCATCCCTACATCTTCTGAACCTGCCAACAGCTATTGCTGGAGGAGAGGAATTTTCAAGGATTTTTTTTTTAAATTTTGGTTTGATTTTGATTTTTTGAATTTTGATTTGATTTTTTTTTTAATTTTTATTTTGATTTGATTTTTTAATTTTTGTTTGATTTTGATTTTTTTGGATTTTAATTTGGTTTTTTTTGATTTTGATTTGATTTTTAAATTTTGATTTGATTGTGATTTTTTTGGATTTTGATTTTATTTTTTTGATTTTTTTATTTTGATTTTTTGTTTTTGATTTGATTTTGGTTCGATTTTGATTTGATTTTTTGATTTTGATTTGATTTTTTGGATTTTGATTTGATTTTTTGATTTTGATTTTGATTTGATTTTTAAATTTTGATTTGATTTTGATTTTTTGGATTTTGATTTGATTTTGATTTTTTTATTTTGATTTGACTTTTTGGTTTTTATTTGTTTTTTTTGTTTTTGATTTGATTTTTTGATTTTGATTTGATTTTTTGATTTTGATTTGATTTTGATTTTTTGTTTTTGATTTGATTTTTTAAATTTTTTATTTTGATTTTTTGGCTTTGATTTGATTTTTTTTGATTTTTTAATTTTAGTTTTTTTGTTTTTGATTTGATTTTGATTCGATTTTGATTTTATTTTTTTTATTTTGATTTTTTTTCACGGATTACCTTCCCAATCCCCAGGCAGGGATGGGAGGGAAGAAATGAGAGCTCCAGCTCCTGTCCCTGCAGAGGGAATTGTGGTGAGATGGGCACAGCCCCGTGTTAGACACCAGAGAGGAAACCCAGCTTCATTGCTTCGCTGCTCATGGAACAACTTTTTTTCCATTTTGCCTCTGAAAGAGAAAAAGGAAAAAAAAAAAAACTTATTTTTTTTTTTTTAGGGAAAAGCTCAACTTTCTGTCTTTTGGCTGCGTCGGCGAAACAAAAGGTTTTGGAAAAAAAAAATCCACAAAAAGCAGTTTCAAAAAAAAAACCACCAAAAAAAAAGGCAAAGCTGTTCCTTCCCCAGCAGCAGCACTTCTTCCTCTTTTGGGCCATTCTGAGAACAAACAAGGACACGTACTAAAATAGAAAAATAATAGGGAAAAGTCCTCAGGAAACTGCAGAAAAAGGCCTGGGAATCTCCTGTTCATGGCAGTGACTGATTGCCAGTGCCTTGTTCTGCAGACACTCAGCACAGGAATTAGGGACACCAGGAATTACTCAGTTATTATTATAATAGAATATATTAATATATTGTATTAATATAATATAGTATAATATAATATAGTATAATATAATATAATATAATATAATATAATATAATATAATATAATATAGTATAATATATTCGTATAATATATTCATATAATATATTCATATAATATAATGTTATATATTAATATAATATAATGTAATATAATATACTACAATATAATATAATATAGTATAATATAATATAATATAATATAATATAATATAATATAATATAATATAATATAATATAATATAATATAATATAATATAATAATATAATATAATACAATATAATATAATACAATATAATATGTATAATGTTAATGTTAGGTATAAGAACTATTCCTAATCATTATTATCAGATAATTAATTAATAATTATTAGATGTCAGGAATCACTGGTGACACCAGACAGGGCATCAGATGCCACCATGGTCAGGAGTGAGTGGGGTCCTTCTGTATGTGAACAAGAGCATTTCCCCTCTGCAGCTGAATCCAGGAATGAGGGTGAAAGTGGTGCCTGGGAAGGCCCAGGAAGGAGCAATTTTAATGGGAAATATTGTGAAAAGCTTCAGCTTGGATGGAGATCAGGCTGGGCTGGGTGTGGTGCCCACTGCTTGCAAAAGGATCCACTGAGCCCAACCTGTGGTGCTGAGCAAATGCTGCCAGCAGAGTTCCCAACCCATCTGGGATTTATTCACTGCAGGGTTTTTATTTCCCCCAGGGGCCCTGTGTTTCCTGCAGCTCTCAGGTAGTTGAAGAGCCACTCCCAAATAATTTTTGGCCTCAGAACGGAGATGTTTGTTGCTGTTTAGGAAGACAGAGAATTGTCAAGACTTTTTTTTTTTTTTTTTTTTTTCCCTGCTGAATTTGGCATAAAAAGGCATCAAGACTTCCAGGAAATTCTGTATCTTTGACTCCTGCAAAAAAAAAAAAAACAAAAAACAAGAAAAAGAGCTGGCAAGTGCTGGTTCCATCATAATGCCTTCATTGCTTTTGATATGTTGGAAACAGAGGGATTCAAAGTGGGTCTCAGTGTGCTGGTGAGCATGAGAGAGGGACTTTGGGGTGTCCCTGTGCCCTGTTGGGGGCACAGTGCTTGTCTCACCTCATCACCTCGATGCTGTCGGGTCCGTCTGTCTGTCTGTCTGTCTGTCTGTCTCTGCCCCCACACGGGTAGGGCGGTTCTTGGGTGGACGCGTTTCAAAGGACGAGTCTGGACTCTTCAGCTTTTCCATCTTCAGATTGTTTATTGTTTCTTATCTACAGAATTTTCTGTCTGCCCAGCAGAGGTCTGACCTGCAAGGCAGCCAAGGGCACTCTGACCACTCACGGGGCAGTCATGTCTTTTTATACTAAAATCTACGTACATGATATTTACCTTTATTTTCCAATACTTTTCACCCATGTTGGCAAGTGCACCTTCACCATAAACCAATCCCCAAGTGCCAACATCACCACAGGAGATGGAGGACAAGAAGAAGAAAGAAGAAGGACGAGACACGCCCTGATCCCTCCATCTTGTCTCCATAACCCCCCTGTACTAAAAACCTTAAAGTTTGTATTTCACCCTCTAAATGTGTCTCTTTTACACCCTTCACTCTAAAGTGATTCTCATGTCCTCAAACTGCTGTCACTCCTGGCAACATTCCAGGATTTCTGAGACCCCCAAGGGTTCTCCTGGCATCTCTGGACATCGGGAGCGATGTGCTGAGTTCCCACACGATGCAGCCGTGCCCAAACCTTCCCTGTCTGTGAGCCCAGTCTTGGCACGGGCTTTGCTGCCTGGTGTTGTCACCATCACCCCTGTGCCACCCCCAGCAGGGCTCCCAGCTGTCACTGTGCCACACGCCCTGTCCTGTCCTGCTCTTCCTGTGGCACCTTTGTGTTTGGCAAATGCCGCTCGTCTGCTTTTGTCAGGAAATTCTGTCAGATTGGACAATTTGCCTATAATTTCAGGGTTTATTTTCCTGTTTAGCTGTTTGGAAGCAGGTTTTCCCTGTTTTTTGCAGGACAGCAAAGAACATTAAGGTTTTTTTTTTCCCCCCTTCGTGATGTTGTGGCACCTGAAGGTGACAAAGATGCCTGAGTTCGTGCAGGGCCAGATTCAGTCCTGGTGTAAACAGAACCTTTGAAAACAAGGAAGTTCCTCTCTGTTGCTCCCCATGCTGTAATTCCTAAGTTGGCATCAAACCCCAGGGATTGTATCCTGATTTTTTGACCCCACTGAGGTCAGCAACATCTTGGGGTGATGCTGTTGATTTGTACAGGGGCAAGTGCTGGTCCATGCAGGCCAGGGGATGTTCTTGGGGGGACCTGAGTTTGTGCATGGCCAAATTCAGTCCTGGTGTAAACAGAACCTTTGAAAACAAGGAAGTTCCTCTCTGTTGCTCCCCATGCTGTAATTCCTAAATTAGAGACACCCTGGCATCAAAGCCCAGGGGTTGTATCCTGATTTTTTAACCCCGCTGAAGTCAGTGACCTTTTAAAACAAGGAAGTTCCTCTCTGTTGCTCCCCATGCTGAAATTCCTAAATTAGAGACACCCTGGCATCAAAGCCCAGGGGTTGTATCCTGATTTTTTAACCCCACTGAAGTCAGTGATGTCTTGGGGTGATGCTGTTGATTTGTACAGGGGCAAGTGCTGGTCCAGGGGAGGTTCTTGGGGGGACCTGGTACCAGTTGTTGGTTTCTCTGTGTCTGGATTGAAGGCATTTGAGATGGTAGTTCATGTTTAAATAAACACTCAGGTGTTTATTATTTCTTATCAGTAAAACAGTCTCACAACCGTGAGTTGGGCAGCTTTTCATGAGGAGGCACAAAATGGCCAACAATCTCTTGTTACAAGGTTTTTTAAGACTAAACTATCCAATTAAGAGCTGACACCTGGATTATTTTCCCTTTTAACCCAATAACTGATCCCACAGAGCCCACAATGGGGACTTTTCTGCCCAATTACAAAATGCCACCCAAACCCATGAAGAAGAAGGAAGAAGAAACCCAGGATGACACCCTGTGCCCTCCACCTTGCACACTAAAAACCCCAAACCCTCAGTTTCTCACCCAGTGATCCACCTACACTGCTGTCTATAATCTATCTCACACTTTTGTGGATTCTAGTTTCTTTTGAAACCCAGGAAACTTACTCCATGGATGAGGGTCAGAGTCAGCGCTCCCTGGGGGTCAGGGCACCCAGAGCAGACACAGGAACATTCCCAGTGCTGCCCTGGCTTTCCCACAGGGAGCTGCCCTCGTTCCCCACCTCAGACTGTTCCGGTTGTGTTTGCAGACGTTAAGAAAGAAAGGTTTTAACGGCTGTGACAGCCCAGAGCCCGACGGCGACGACTCCATAGACCAGAGCCCCTTGATGGAGGATAAATACCGCAAAGGCAGCGAGGATCTGGATATCCTGTTCAAGAGATATGGTGTAAGTACCTGCCCGTGGCTGGAAATCCTTCATTATATGTTCTTTTCTGTTTTGTTTCTCTTCTGTTCGACCTCCCCTCGCCCTGTCCCTGGCCCCCCCTGTGTCCCCCCACACGTAACAGGCGCTGAACAAGAAGCACAGGGAGTGCGAGAGCCCCGAGGGGGACGAAGTGTTTGCTCTGACCCCGCAGACGGAGGAGAAATATAAAAAGATTGATGAGGAGTTTGATAAAATGATGCAGAGTTACCGGCTCGCAGTGAGTAGCTGGTGGCCTGCAGCCCCCCCTGGCCCCCTCCCCGGTGCCTCCAGGTGATGGGGGGGTGGATTTTGGATTTTGCATGGCTTTGCTTTGGAGCCGATGCCAGCAGCCCCTGCAGCCCTGAATGCACCTGGCTCTTGAGTGCCCTTCCTGTTGCCCAGCCTTGGGAGAATCCTTCCTGACCCTCCTTGGCTCTGGCCAGGCAGTGCAGGATGGTATTGCTTGTCTCATCTCCTCTGCTGGATTAGGGTCTCCTTTTTCACCCTCTTTTCCTCAAAAAAAAACCCCAGATTTTTGTCTGGGTTAAGATCCCGGTGTTCATGTGAGCTGGTGGCGGGCGCCGACCTCTCACATCCTTGCAAAGCTCAGCCTGGTTTGGGCTATTCCACATTAATTCCCCCCAAATCCACCGAGCCCTCAGGGCAGCTGGTGGCTGTGGCAGAAATCCAGGGAGGTTTTAGCCTGTGATCCCAGAGCTGTCACTGGCACTGGGGTGGCATCAGGACAGTGCTGAAAGGGATTTGTGTCAGGAGACGGGAGGAGGAGGAGGAGGGGGACACGTTTCAAATTAGTTGTTAGTTCAAGGGAGCAGAGACTATTGATGCAGGCAAGGGCTCTTCAGGGGATTAGCCCCGAGTTGCTGCAGCAGTAATTAATGCTGTGGGAGCAGGGGGGAGGCTCCTGTCCAGGGCTGGATGCAGCACAGCAAAAATGACACACACACAGAGCCCCACCCAAAATAATCTGCCCTCCTGTGCTTTGCAAGCCCCCACAAGTTAAAATTCAGGCTTTCGTTGAGAACTGGGCCTTGTGAAATCTCCAGGTTTTGGGGTTTTTTTGCTGACTCAGCGCTGTGTTGCTCCACGAGCCTTGCAAAGGATCCCAAAATCTGCATTTTGATCCCCTGGATCTCAGGGTGTGGAGGAGGTGGGGAGGCTGCCCTGAGACCTGGAGGGGCTGAGGAGGTGGAGGAAAGTGCAGGTGGTGATGATCTCTTGCAGCTCTGCTGTGACAGCGAGGAGAGGGGTTCAGGGCAGGATTAGCTCTGTCAGGACGTGGATCTGCCTCAGCCTCCCTGGTTTCTCTAGGAGGGTGCAGATTCCCACCCTGCCAGGGTGTGTGGGGTGGGAGTAGAGCCCCAGCAGGACATGCACCCCTCCAGCACCTGGCACAAGCCCTACCACAGTGGAAAATAGGCTGGAAAGCCACCTGAGCTTTGTCCTTAGTGCAGAACACCCTCGTGAGCAGGGGCTGCTCAGCCTCAGAACGTGCCTGCTGCAAAGGCAGGGCCCTGAGTGGAGTCCCACCATCCAGACATGCCAATCCACAGGGACAATCTGTGCCCAGGGCTCCTTTCAGCAGGTGGCATTCAAGTGCTGGGTGGCTCCTCATCAGGGCATAGAGCATCTGGCTCCCCCACTAAACCTCCCTGGCAGCAAGGGGCCGAGCAGTGCAGGTGGAGTGTGTGGTTGAAGGAGACGCTTTTCCATTTTAACGCTGGGTTGGTTTTGTGTGTGAGCAGAACTAACCCAGAGGAGCAGCTTAACAACAGCTGTGTCTGCTAACGAAGGGGCCCTGTGGGGCTTCTGCCTCTGGTGTTTGCCCTCCCTTCTAACAAGAGCAGAACTGGTGGATTTTGGCTGATGTGTGCATCTTCTCCCCCAGACTTTGGACCCATGTGCAAGCTGCCCTTGTGCCGGGGCAGTGGCAGCCTCCCACCTGTCTGCAGGTGCATTAAGGCAAATCTCAGCTCTTGGGGCTGCTGTATCAGCTCCCAGCTCCACCATGGCACTGCTCATGCCGTGGTGTGGAGGAGCTCCAGCTCTTCCTCTCCCTCTCTGGGAGCTCTGAAGGCGCGCGGACGCGTTGGCAGTGATTTATTACACAACGCTGCTCCGGTGTTCGTGCAACGCCCGAGAAACCTTCCTCCACCTCCTCCTCCTCCTCCTCCTCCTCCTCCTGTGATTCTGCTGCCGTGCAGGATGAGCTCCCGGGCTGAGCAGAGGGAGGGCTCCGTGTTCCAGCTCTCCCTGGTGCTGTGGGAGTTGCTGAGCCCCAGGGCGCAGGCTCAGAGCCGCTGGCCCCGCGGCTCGGCTGCAGCCACGGGGTAGCTCTGAAGGACAGGATGCCCTTGGGAGGCAGGTGGGGAGAGTTCCTGGCAGGGAGGCGTGGGTGAGCACTGTCCTACTCCTTCCTGCCGTCCCCCTCTCTCACCTAAGGAGCAGGACCTAAAGAGGAGCAGATTTTTGGAGGGGAGGAGGCTGCAAGTCCCTCTTCCCTCACTGGGGATCCACTCTGGCTCTGTGATGGTCCCATTCAGTGCTGGGCTACTCTCCCTCTCCATCCCAGAGCAAATTAAAGTGGGACTTAAGCAAAGCCCGTGCTAAAGCCTCTAAGCAGGTGCCAGCTCCTGTTAACGAAGAGCAAATCAGTGACATAAGACAAGTGGCTGGGATAATCACAGCGGCTCTGGCTCCCACGGGACGCTGGTAGGTGAAGCTGGTCCTCAACCTGCAGCCAAGGATAGGGCTTTAGTGATGCTCTGCATCCCTGGGGTCAGCTCATCCTTCCCAGTGGCTCCCAGAGGAGACAGGAGGGATCCCAGAGTGACCCAGGGGCTCTGTGGAGCAAAACGAGTCCTTCCCAGGTGCTTGGCCACCCAGAATGGGGATCCACTGCTGGCTTCCTCCTGGCTGAGGAAGGGAGAATAGAATCCTGCTTGTGGTGAAGGGTAATGCCAAGCTGGGCTGCTCTCAGTGCTGCTGGGAGCAGACCACCAGGCTGGTGCCCACCTTCATGCTCTGGGCTGCTCCCAGCCTCTCCTTGCCTGCCCTGAAAGCACAGAGGGTAAATAAATAAATAGAGCCTGAAAAAGAGGCCAGAACACTTGTTTGCAGAGCTTGGCTATGTCCAAGAGAACGGCCCATTGCTCTTGCTGGTGTTCCCTGGTGGGGACTGGGCTCTGGTGCATCCCCTGCAAGGTTCCAGTGTGGGTTCAAGCACAGCACTGCAGGTTTGAGGAGCCTGACTGTCCCCTTTGGCCAGCAGCTGTGCTGTGCTACAGGAACTTTTCCTGATGTTCCCTGGTGGGGAACTCCACCCCTGCAAGGTTCCAGTGTGGGTTTGAGCACAGAAATGCAGGTTTGAGGAGCCTGCCTGTCCCCCCTTGGCCAGCAGCTGTGCTGTGCTGCAGGAACTTTTCCTGCTGGGGAACTGGGCTCAGGTGCATCCCCTGCAAGGTTCCAGTGTGGGTTTGAGCACAGCAATGCAGGTTTGAGGAGCCTGACTGTTCCCTTTGGCCAGCAGCTGTGCTGTGCTACAGGAACTTTTCCTGGTGTTCCCTGGTGGGCAGCTGGGCTCTGGTGCATGCCCTGCAAGGTGCCAGGGTTCCAGCACAGCACTGCAGGTTTGAGGAGCCTGCCCCCTTTGCCAGCAGCTGTGCTGTGCTGTGCTGTGCTGCAGGAACTTGGCTCCCCTTTACCCCCTGCTCTCTGTTCAGTCCACAGTGCCCGCTCCGAACTTCGCCATGCCCGTGACGGTGCCGGTGACCAACCAGAACTCGCTGCAGTTCAGCAACCCTGGCAGCTCCCTGGTCACCCAGTCCCTGGTGACCTCCTCGCTGACAGACCCCCGGCTCCTGTCCCCACAGCAGCCAGCCTTGCAGAGGAACACGGTGTCCCCAGGGCTGCCACAGAGGCCAGCCAGTGCAGGTGAGCCACTGGGAGCCCCTCACCTGTCGGGGTGTCGGGGGTAGCACGGGCGGGACAGATGGAGATGAGAGATCTCTGCAGCCAGGTCAGGAATTTGGGGTTTATTGCAAAGGGCCAAGTGCAGGGGCCTTTTGGGATTTGGGGTTTATTGCAAAGGGCCAAGTGCAGGGGCCTTTTGGAGTTTGGGGTTTATTATTGTAAAGGGCCTGGGTGCAGGGCCCTGCTGGGATTTGGGGTTTATTATTGTAAAGGGTGTGGGTGCAGGGACCTTTTGGGATTTGGGGTTTATTGCAAAGGGCCTGGGTGCAGGGGCCTTTTGGAGTTTGGGGTCTATTGCAAAGAGCCAAGTGCAGGGGCCTGCTGGGATTTGGGGTTTATTACAAAGGGCCTGGGTGCAGGGGATTTTTGGGATTTGGGGTTTTTGCAAAGGGCCTGGGTGCAGGGCCCTGCTGGGATTTGGGGTTTATTGCAAAGGGCCTGGGTGCAGGGGCCTTTTGGAGTTTGGGGTTTTTGCAAAGGGCCTGGGTGCAGGGGCCTGCTGGGATTTGGGGTTTATTGCACAGGGCCTGGGTGCAGGGCCCTGCTGGAGCTGCCAGGCACAGCTGGAGCAGGACTGAGAGAAGAGAGGGGGAGAGAGGATGAGAGGGAAAGAGAGTAAAGGAGTAAAAAGGGTAAGAGAGTAAAAAGGGTAAGAGAGTAAAAGCGTAAGAGAGTGAGGTTCCTGTTACAATACCATAAATCTTCTTCTGTGCTGAATATTCTCATTCTCACTAACCAATCCAGTACAAGATACAAATCCTACAGCATTTACATCCAGCCTATAAGAATCATTACGTTACCATCCTGTGTTACATTTTAAACCCTACAAACTCCTCTTTGGGCCCCTTCTGCCAAGCTGTAGGGTCTGCTCTGAGCCTTGGGCCTGTCTGCAAGCAGAGGGTGTTGTTCCATCAAAAGGGGATCACCTTCAGTCCAGCCACACCATTGTTTTCCAGTTGTTCAGTAACTGAGGGATCTCAAAGCTTGCTTTCATTTCAATCTCACTTATAGTTTCCATATTCTCAAAATCTTTTGCCAGACAATCATATTTATAAGGCTTTCCTGTTCCATCTTCCCCAACACTCACCTCCTCATCCTTCCTGCCTGCTGGGCTTGCAGCACCCAGCATGGGGCATCCTGAGGGAGGGGACACCCCTGCTGCTTCCATCCCCTGTCCAGGGTCCACATTCCAGCACCTGTGGGTGGCAGAAGCTCTCTGGAAGTGTTGCTGCCCCTCCGTGTGTGTGACCTCCTGCCAGCCATGGATGCCCTGTTTGTGCCCCAAACTGAGGGCAACCTCCCCACCTTACCGAGGCTCTTTGAGAGCTGGATCCCTGCAGGATCTGGGCTGGATCCCTGCAGGATCTGGGCTGGATCCCTGCAGGAGCTGGGTTGGGTTGGCCAGTGCAAGATGACTCACCTGGCACCATGCCCGGGCTTGGGGGTGGCTGCTGGCACCCAGCTCGCCGGTGGCACTCTGGTGACATGGGTCTGGCTGCCTAAAAAGGGCTGTTCTGAGTTGGGCTGTGCTGCCTGCAGTTGGCTGTGGGTGATTACTCATGTGGCTGTGCTGACAGATCTGAGGAGCAGACATTTCCAGCAGGGACCAGCCCATGGTGGCACAGGACAGGCTGGGGGAGAGAGCAGTTGTCACCCACGTCCCCTGTAGTGGCAGGGGGGACAGGACAATGTGTGTGACCACAGCCTGGCTCTCTTTCGTGATCATAAATAATATTCCTCCTATTTTGGATGCCACTGTAAAAGTCACCCAGGCTGCAAATGGCAGAGCTGGTGCCAGTGAGCACCATTTGGGTCCTCAGCTGTGGCCCCTGGGGCTTTGAGAGCTCTGGGGAGCTTTGCAAAGGGGATGGATTTGGAGAGAAGGTTGGGAGGTGCTTCCAGAAGCAGGTTTGTGCTGGCTCAGGATGAGCAGGAGGAATGGCCTGGCTGGGATGCAGCAGGAACTGTGCTTCAGAGACAGCTTCTTTGCTCTCACCACCATCTCCAAAGTGCCTCAGAGCACTCAGGTATCAGCATGAGGCCCCAGAGCTGCAGGAGAAGGGACATTCTGCTCCAGGACTGATCCCAGAGAGCAGAGAGGGGTTATTCTCCTCTAGGATCAGTCCCAGAGAGCAGCATTTCCCTGCAGGCAGGGCTGGCAGAGCCCTCCTCGGGCACATGCAGCCATGGCTGAGGCTGCAAGGATCTCCTGCCCTCTCTGAGGCCCCTCAGCTGAGAGCAGAAGAGGCTTCCTGGTGGAGCAGACCCCTCTGGGGGCTCGCTGTTTCCAGCTCTCTCCCTGCTCATTTCAGGGGATCATTTTGTGGTTGTGAGCGCAGAGGTGTTCCAAGTCTGGCCATCTGTGTCTCATTCACTGGCTGCCTGGGACACGGAAGAAATCCTGTTTATAGGAGCCAGGGCCTTGCATGTTAGAAAAAAAATCTTTTTTTTTTTTCCTTTTTTTTTTTAATTTTTTTTTTTCTTAGCATTGCACCAGAGCTGGTTGTGTTGTTTCCAAAGCAAATGCACAGCGAGCGCTGGGTGGGTACCCTGACAGTGCCTGGTGCTGCTGGCTCGGGGATGCTGTGGGAGAAGGGCAGCCAAGGGTGGGTGCACAGGGCTGGGGGTGGGTTGGCATCACTCACCCACGGAGGTGGCAGCATGGCCACAGTGCCTGGGCTGCAGGTGGGCTCCCACAGCAGGGCACAGCCACAAAACCCTGCTGGAGCCCCTTCTGTGCCACTTGGGAGGCACAGGGACCTCTGGCTTTGCCTCCCCATCCCTTCAGGGAGGTGCTGCAGTGTCACACTCGCCACACCTAGTGGGTCACTTCACCCTTTCTCAGGCCATACAATTTTTGGGGCCATATGAGGAGTAACTGTTCTCCCCTCAGCTCAGCCCTCCCACCCTCCTCCAGCTGCCAGGGGCTCGCTGAGAGCCACGGGCTGGATCAAGATTCGTGTCTCAGGTTTCTCCATCTGGCTTGGGAAGGGCTGGGCAGTGCTCAGAGGTGGGGTTTGGCACCGAAAGCCCCCTGTTGGCCAGCCCGGGGCTCCGGGTTGACTGCGGTCGCAGCTCCGGAGCCTCCGCGCCGCCTCTTGGCTGCAGCCGTGGTCAGGCAGCCCCGGCTGGGGAATAGGTGGCTTTCAGAAATAACTTCATAACAAGGCAGAAGAAAGATCGAGTCTTCTTCCAGGCGAGGCAAAACGTTGTGGTTTTTGGGAATAAAAAGGTCCAGTTTTCCCCAGTCTGGTGGGGAATTTCAGCGTTTTGCTGCAAGTGTTGGGACGATGGGAGTGGGGATCTCTGTGGTGTCCTGGCAGTTTGGGATGGTTTCCATCGGTGTGAACCTTTTGGGAATAAAAAGGTCCAGTTTTCCCCAGTCTGGTGGGGAATTTCAGCGTTTTGCTGCAAGTGTTGGGACGATGGGAGTGGGGTCTCTGTGGTGTCCTGGCAGTGTGGGGTGGTTTCCATCCCTGTGAACATTACAGGGGGGGGGATTTTGTTTCCTGTCGTGCTGCTGGGGCTCTCTCTCCCCCCAGCAGCACCAGCTCTGTGTCCCCCCCAAAAGGGGGGCTTGGAATCAAATAGCTGCAGTGTTTTCCAAGCTGCCTCCTCTGGAGCAGGCTCTGTGCACCTGGCTCCTTCCCAAAGGAAACGGATCTGCCTGGATAACATTTCCCAACCTGATCACCAGGAATGCTGCTCCTTTTGCCCAGGACTTTCTCCCCAGCAAGGCAGTCCTGTTTTTTCCCTTTTTGCCTTCCTCCACTGTGCTCCCTGCCCCCCAAAAGCAGGGATGCTCCCCCTGTTCCTGCCCTGATGCTGATCCCATCTCTGCTCTTGCTTTGCAGGGGCGATGCTTGGGGGAGACCTGAACAACACGAACGGAGCCTGCCCCAGCCCCGTGGGTGAGTAAGGAGCCCTCAGCCCCTGCCCTGGCTCCATGGGGCACTCCTGCCCTCCCCACACCTCCCACAGGGTTTTGCTTTGCTGTTGAGCCCGTGGGGAAGCACTGGGGAAGGTTTTGCTGCTCTTGGCAGTGGGAGGGGTTGGCATGTGGAGCTCCAGGCTGCCTTTGGTGGGGGATGCTGGTTTCAGTGACCAAGCAGTCTCCATCTGCCCAGGGTTCTGGGGAGAGCTGCAGAGCAGGGAGGTGACCCCCAAAGAGCAGGATTTGGGTAGCTCTGGGTTCAGCTCCTGCTGCTGCAGCCAATTCTCTGATCAATTAACACCCAGCTCCTCCTCGTGCTTGGGCCCTATAAAGGAACTTTACTGCAAGGAAAAGAAGCTCATTAAGGGCCTTTTCCACTGTGAGAGCCTCAGTGCTAATGAGGCTCAGGCCTCATGGCTCAGCTCCTCAGCTGTAAAATGCACTAACAACATCTCCATCCCCACATCTGCCTCTGCCATCTGCAGGCTGAGGATGTTGGGCCACTGCTGGTGCAGGCACAGCCCAAAAACCAGAGCCAGCCCTGGGCACTGCTGGGAAGCAGCTGCTGCTCTCAGCACTGGCCTTGGCAGTGCTCCCAGCCTTGGCAGGGTAGATGCCATCCATCCCAGGGCAAGGGCACAAGCAAAAGCTCCTGAGCCTGACTCCTCACCCCTTTTTGCAGTAGGTGCCCAGCTGACAGCACAGAGCAGTGTGGAATTCCACATCACCCCAGATGAAACCAAACTGGAGCCAGATCCCGCTGGTTTTTGGGTGGAGTTGGTCCAGTTTTGGCTCTGCAGCATTGTGCCAACTGACCCCCATCCCCTGCACTCTGGATTCTGCCAGGAATAACCATTTCCCTGTGCTGGGCAGCACCGTGCCAGCCCCAGAGGGATTTGTTCACAGAGCAAAACCCACCAGGGTGGTCTGTGGGGCAGTATCCCAGTGTCTCCCAGCACCCAGCACGAATCTTTGCTGATCCTTGAGGTACACAGGGAAGGGGCCATCATACAGCTCTGGATTCTGCCATTTCCCTGTGCTGGGCAGCACTGTGCCAGCACCAGAGGGATTTGTTCACACAGCAAAACCCACCAGGGTGGTCTGTGGGGCAGAGTCTCAGTGTCTCCCTGGGCTCTCCCAGCACGGAGCTTTGCTGATCCTTGAGGTACACAGCGAAGGGGCCATCGTGCCCCAGGCAGCTCTGGGGGCTCCATTCCCCACAGCCACCCCCATGTCAGCTGTCAGAGCACTCAGGATTCTGGATTCTGCCATTTCCCTGTGCTGGGCAGCACCGTGCCAGCCCCAGAGGGATTTGTTCACACAGCAAAACCCACCAGGGTGCTTTGAGGGGCAGTGTCTCCCAGCACCCGGCACGGAGCTTTGCTGATCCTGGAGGGCACAGGGAAGGGGCCATCGTGCCCCAGGCAGCTCTGGGGCCTCGTTCCCCCCCATCCACCCCCGTGTCAGCTGTTGGAGCAGCCCCTGCGGGTGCAGAGCTTGGCAGGGCCCCTGAATGTCAGCATTGACGTCACCCGAGCATTCCCTGCGTTCCTGCTGCCACTGCAGGAAATGGGGCTGAGCAGCGGGGCCAGCCCCAGACCCCTGCTGTCCCCAGACTCTCCCCGCCCTCCCTGGGGCTCCCCTCGTGCCTCTGGGAGGGCACTGTGGCTCTGGCAGTGCTCAAATACCTGCTACGTCTCTTCCTCCTCCTCCTCCTCCTCCTCCTCCTCCTCGCTTGCAGTCTCTGCAGCACTCAGTGATCACCTGCTGCCTCTGAGTCATCAGCTGCGGGTGCCTCTGGCCGGATCCTGCAGTGCTGTGTCCCTGCATGCTGCCCACACTCCATGGCTGTGCCACCCTGGGCATGCAGCACCCACCCCTGCCCCTTTGGGGGTGCTGAGCCCTGAGGGTCCCCGCTCAAATTCCCCCTGCAAAGGCAGCCCAGAGGAGCCAGAGGGCTCCTGCCACAGGCATCTTCTATGGAAAATCCTTTCTTTAGGATTGTTTCCTCCTGAGAAGCTGAGAGGCCTCAGGAACAAAATGCAAACAATGGTTATCTGCTGCTGTGGGATGCAACAGGTGCATCTGGGATTGGGCTCATGTGGTTGTTTCTAATTAATGGCCAATCACAGCCCAGCTGTCCAGACTGTCTCAGTCAGTCCCAGGATTTTGTTATCATGTGTGACTGTGTTCACAGGGGTCTTAGGTTGAGGGAAGAGATGAGGATCTGAGTCCATGTTTCAGAAGGCTTGATTTATTATTTTATGATAGTTATTATATTTAAACTATACTAAAAGAATAGAAGAAAGGATTTCATCAGAAGGCTGGCTAAGAATAGAAAAAGAAAGAATGATAACAAAGGCTCTGTCTTGGACTCTCTGTCCGAGCCAGCTGGGCTGTGATTGGCCATTAATTAGAAACAACCACATGAGCCCAATCCCAGATGCACCTGTTGCATTCCACAGCAGCAGATAACCATTGCTTACATTTTGTTCCTGAGGCCTCTCAGCTTCCCAGGAGGAAAAATCCCAAGGAAAGGATTTTTCATAAAAGATGCCTGCGACAATCCTTCTTTTCTATTCTTAGCCAGCCTTCTGATGAAATCCTTTCTTCTTTTAGTATAGTTTTGATATAATATATATCATAAAATAATAAATCAAGCCTTCTGAAACATGGAGTCAGATCCTCATCTCTTCCCTCAGAGCCCTGTGAACATGGTCACAGCTCCTCTTTTAGACTCCTTCCCTTGGCTGGGCACTGCAGCCCCTGTCTCTGGATCCATGCTGGGTGCACGTGGCAATGACAGCAGCAATGACAGCCCAAGGCCACCCCACCCATCTTTGGGGGTGAGTGGGGGCAGCACTGGAGCCCAAAGCAGCCCAGGGAGCCACCCCAACCCACAGTGATACAGGGTGTGCCTCAAACAGGCTCACCATGGGAGCCCCGTGGGCATCCATGCAGTGGGAAGGAGAATATCAAAGGATTTAAGATTTCTTATGGCTTTTCCATGGTCATGGGAAGGAGAATATCAAAGAGTTTAACATTTCTTATGGCTTTTCCATGGCCCTGGGAAGGAGAACATCAAAGAGTTTACCATTGCTTTTGGCTTTTCCATGGCTTTGGGAATGAGATTATCAAAGAGTTCAACGTTTCTTTTGGCTTTTCCATGCCTTGAGAAGGAGAATATAAAAGAATTTAACATTGCTTTTGGCTATTCCATGGCATTGGGAAGGAGAATATCAGAGTTTAACATTTCTTATGGCTTTTCCATGGCCTTGGGAAGAAGAGTATATCAAAGAATTGAAGATTTCTTTTGGTTTTCCATGGCTTTGGAGGGAGAATATCAAAGAATTGAAGATTACTTTTGGCTTTTCCATGGCCACCAGCACTGCAGGTCACCTGAGGAATTTCTGCACCTTTGTTGTTGATAAATCTAAAAGCCAGTGCCCCTGTGGGACCAAGGGCAGCATTGCCATCCCTGTGCCATCTGTGGGGTCAGAGCATTACCATCCCCTGTGCCATCTGTGGGACCAAGGGGAGCATTGCCACCCCTGTGCCATCTGTGGGACCAAGGGGAGTGTCACCACCCCTATGCCATCTGTGGGATCAGAAGGGAGCATTGGTGACACTCCCCTCTGACCCCACAGATGGCACAGGGGTGGCAATGGTCCCCTTGGTCCCACAGATGGCACAGAGGTGGCAGTGCTCCCCTTGGTCCCATAGATGGCACAGGGCTGGCAATGCTCTGATCCCACAGATGGCACAGGGGGTGCCATTGCTCCCCTTGGTCCCACAGATGGCACAGGGATGGTGACACTCCCCTTGGTCCCACAGATGGCACAGAGGTGGCAGTGCTCCCCTTGGTCCCACAGATGGCACAGGGGTGGCAGTGCTCTGATCCCACAAGTGGCACAGAGGTGGTGACACTTCCCTTTGGTCCCACAGATGGCACAGGGCTGTCAATGCTCTGACCCCACAGATGGCACAGGGGTGGCAATGCTCTGATCCCACAGCTGGCACAGGGGCTGGCAATGCTCCCTTGGTCCCACAGCTGGCCCAGGGCTGGCATCCAGGGCAGCATTACCACCCCTGTGCCCGCTGTGCCCACCCTGGGCAGCTCCAGGGGCGCAGGGGTTTTGCTGAGCCCCCCTCCCTGCAGTGTTGGTGGCAGCAGCCCCTGCTGGAATGCAGCTGCAGCTCGATGTGCATGTCATTAATAATGCAATCAGCGACCTATTTTTCCCGGTCTAACGTGCAATGAATGTGAGGGCTGAATCCTGGTGATTGCTGAACGCCTTTCTATCTTTGGGGCCTATTCATGAAAAAAAACCAACCCTCATCAGAACAGTAATCTGATCCAATTTATTCCTTTCCTGATGTTCATCAAATCTTTTCCTTTTTATTTTTTTTTCTTCCTTTCCTTTCTTCTTTTTTTTTTTTCCCCTTCTCTTTGCACATAAAATCCTTAAGTGGGGCAGCAGGAGGAGGAGGAGGAGGAGGAGGAAAGGAGGGAACCTCAGATCTTCAAAGGGGCAGTGGGAGCAGTGAACTGAGTCCTCACTCTGCCACAGCCCCTTTTCACTGCCCCAGGAGCAGAGAGAGGCCTTAAAAGTGAATGTGCCAATAATTACCCATCTTGGCAGGGCTGTGGTGCCCAAGCAAAGCAGGGAAAGAGCCTGGCTGCAGATCAGGCTCTGAGATTTGCTGGGTGTTTCTGCAGGAACACAAAGGGAAGTCCCTGCAGGTTGGGCAGCTTGGGGGCTGCTGCCTGTCCTGGGGTGAACCTGCTGGGGTGCAGGAGGGATTTGGGGGGGATGAGGTGCTGCTCTCCCACAGGAAGGAGCAGGCACGGAGTGTAGGATGGTCGGGATGGATGGAGGTGAGGAATCTCTGCAGCCAGGTCAGGAATTTGGGGTTTATTGCAAAGGGCCTGGGTGCAGGGCCCTGCTGGGATTTGGGGTTTATTGCAAAGGGCCTGGGTGCAGGGGCCTTTTGGCATTTGGGGTTTATTGCAAAGGGCCAAGTGCAGGGGCCTTTTGGGATTTGGGGTTTACTGCAAAGAACCTGGGTGCAGGGGCCTTTTGGGATTTGGGGTTTATTGCAAAGGGCCTGGGTGCAGGGGCCTTTTGGGATTTAGGGTTTATCGCAAAGGGCCTGGGTGCAGGGGCCTACTGGGATTTGGGGTTTATTGCAAAGGGCCTGGGTGCAGGGGATTTTTGGGATTTGGGGTTTATTGCAAAGGGCCTGGGTGCAGGGCCCTGCTGGGATTTGGGGTTTATTGCAAAGGGCCTGGGTGCAGGGGCCTTTTGGGATTTGGGGTTTATTGCAAAGGGCCTGGGTGCAGGGGCCTGCTGGGATTTGGGGTTTATTGCAAAGGGCCTGGGTGCAGGGGCCTTTTGGGATTTGGGGTTTATTGCAAAGGGCCTGGGTGCAGGGCCCTGCTGGAGCTGCCAGGCACAGCTGGAGCAGGACTGAGAGAAGAGAGGGGGAGAGAGGATGAGAGGGAAAGAGAGTAAAGGAGTAAAAGGGGTAAGAGCTTAAAAGGGTAAGAGAGTGAGGTTCCCATTACAATACCATAAATCTTCTTCTGTGCTGAATATTCTCATTCTCCCTAACCAATCTAGTACAAGATACAAATCCTATAGCATTTACATACAGCCTATAAGAATCATTACATTACTATACTGTGTTACATTTTAAACCCTAAAAACTCCTCTTTGGACCCCTTCTGCTAAGCCTAAAAACTACTCTTTGGAAACGCTAAAAACTCCTCTTTGGAGTAGTTTTAAACCCTAAAAACTCCTCTTTGGGCCCCTTCTGCCAAGCTGGCAGGGTCTGCTCTGCCCCTTGGGCCTGTCTGCAAGCAGAGGGTGTTGTTCCATCACAAGGGGATCACCTTCAGCCAGCCACACCATTGTTTTCCAGTTGTTCAGTAACTGAGGGATCTCAAAGCTTGCTTTCACTTCAATCTCGCTTATAGTTTCCATATTCTCAAAATCTTTTGCCAGACAATCATATTTATAAGGCTTTCCTTATAAATCATTTTTCATCTAAAAATGATGAAAAAAAATCATGTTTTAAATCATGTTTCATCTTCCCCAGCACTGGAGCACTGATGGAGCCCCAGTGCAGTGTGTCCATCACCATCACCACTGCCAATCCTCCAGCCTTCACCTCCTCCCTCTCTGTGCCCCCTGTTCCTGTGCATGAAAAATGCCAATCACTTGTTTTTAAAATTTTAAAGGTTTAATAGTAATAAAATGGTTATAAAAAATAGTAATACAATTAGAGTAATAATAATTCTGGCAATTTGAATTAGGACAATATGAGACAATATAGACACACAGAGTTAGGATGTCCAGGTACCTTTTTCTGGGCAGCACCAGCGCAAAAAATCACCCATGTTAAGAAAGGATTAACCCTTAAAAACAGCAGCCTATTGCATATTCATACACTTCACACATGATGCATAAATTCCATTCAAACACAGGATTCTGTCTGGTCATCATCAACTTCTTCCTCTGAATCCTGACAGCACCTTTGAGGCAGGAAGAAGTTCGTTTCTCCTGATAATGGAGCAATAAATTCTCTTTCTCTGAAAGATTGAGGTGTCCTGTGGCTTCTATCTCAAGTCCTTTCTTTAGAAAAGTATCCTACACAGCATCATTTCTATTTTAACATTTTGTTATAACCTAAAACTCTATTTACCACACTACTTAAGAGCATGAACACAGCATCACTTTCTAACCCAACCCATCTAACATCCATCTGAATATCTGCAAAAAAACCAATCATTAAACACACGCATTTTTCCCACTGCAGGAAACGGCTACGTCAGTGCCAGGGCCTCTCCGGGGCTCCTGCCCGTGTCCAACGGCAGCAGCCTGGGCAAGATCATCCCGGCCAAGTCCCCTCCACCACCGGGGGCGCACGGAGCTCAGCTGGCTCCCAACAGCCGCAAGCCCGACCTGCGAGTCATCACCTCGCAGGGCAGCAAGGGGCTGATGCACCACCTGGTGAGTGCCACCGTGCCGCTGCTGGGGCTGCCAGGGGGTGCCAAGGGGTGCCAGAGGGGTAATTTGGGGCTGTAGTGGTAATTTGGGAGCTGGATGGGGCCGTGCTGGAGGGGAGATGTGAGGGGGAAGGATGGGGTTTGTGCCTGCAGCATCCTGGAGCAGGCAGCACTGTGAGCTGGGTGTGCCCCATGGATGGTGCAAAGCCTCTTCCAAGTGCCATTTTCACCAGTTTGTGCTCCATGGATGGTACAAACCCTGTACCAAGCACCACTCTGAGCTGGGTGTGCCCCATGGATGGTGCAAACCCTCTCCCAAGTGCCATTTTCACCAGTTTGTGCTCCATGGATGGTACAAACCCTCTCCCAAGCACCATCTGACCTGTGTGTGCCCCATGGATGGTGCAAACCCTCTCCCAAGCACCATTCTCAGCAGTTTGTGCTCCATGGATGGTACAAACCCTCTCCCAAGTGCCATTTTCACCAGTTTGTGCTCCATGGATGGTACAAACCCTCTCCCAAGTGCCATTTTCACCAGTTTGTGCTCCATGGATGGTACAAACAACTCTCCCAAGCGCCATCTGACCTGTGTGTACCCCGTGGATGCTGCAAACCCTCTCCCAATCACCACCCTGACTCATGTGTGCCCCATGAATGGTACAAACTCTCTCTCAAACACCATTTTGAGCTGTTTGTGCCCCATGAATGGTATAAACCCTCTCTCAAACACCATTTGAGGTGTTTGTGCACCATAAATGGCACAAACCCTCTCCCAAACACCATTTTGAGGTGTTTGTACCCCATGAATGGCACAAACCCTCTCTCAAACACCACCCTGACCCTGTTTGTGCCCCATGGCTGGCACAAACCCTCTCCCAATCACCATTTTGAGGTGTTTGTACCCCATGAATGGCACAAACCCTCTCTCAAACACCACCCTGACCTGTGTGTGCCCCATGGCTGGCACAAACCCTCTCCCAGTCACCATTTTGAGCTGTTTGTGCCCCATGGCTGGCACAAACCCTCTCCCAAACACCACCCTCACCCATGTGTGCCCCATGAATGTTATAAACCCTCTCCCAGGCACCACCCTGACCCATGTGTGCCCCATGGCTGGTACAAACCCTCTCCCAGTCACCACCCTGACCCTGTTTGTGCCCCATGGCTGGCACAAACCCTCTCCCAATCACCATTTTGAGGTGTTTGTGCCCCATGGCTGGCACAAACCCTCTCCCAAGCACCACCCTGACCCATGTGTGCCCCATGGCTGGCACAAACCCTCTCCCAAGCACCACCCTGACCCTGTTTGTGCCCCATGGCTGGCACAAACCCTCTCCCAAACACCATTTTGAGGTGTTTGTACCCCATGAATGGCACAAACCCTCTCTCAAACACCACCCTGACCCTGTTTGTGCCCCATGGCTGGCACAAACCCTCTCCCAAGCACCACCCTGACCCTGTGTGTGCCCCATGGCTGGCACAAACCCTCTCCCAAGCACCACCCTGACCCTGTGTGTGCCCTGTGGAGGTGAGGGTGAGGTGCCAGTGGGCAGGGTGCTGCTGGGGGGGGCTGTGTGAGTTAACAGTGCTCTCGGTTCTCTCCCTGTTCTCCCCTGCACAGACTGAGGACCACCTGGCTCTGGTGAGTTCCCCTCTGGGTGTGCATGGTGTGGTGGCCCATGGGCTGTTTGTCCCCTCAGTCCTGTCCTGGCCTGGCATGGGGCACACAGAGGGGTGGGCACTGGCTCTCTGTGGTGGGAATGTGGGCGCCAGCTTGGATCCAGTCCTGCTGCAGAAAATAAATCCAGAGAAAAACAGCTCTTAGGAAAACCCAGTTCCCTGTGGGAAAGGAGCTGGCAGGAGCTGCAAAGGGCCTGTTTCTCCACCAAGGCCAAAATTGCTGTGTTGGTCCCCCTGGGGAGGTCAGCCAGGGTCCCTGTGGGGACTGTGGAGCTGAGCTGGGCACTGCCACTGCCCTGGACCTGCCCATGGGGCTTGGCTGGAGCCACCACAGCTCCAGCACAGGGACACCTGGCCCATGGCCAGCACATGAGAGACAGGGAGTAAATCAGGCTCTTCCCATATTAAAGATTTTATTTAAAGCCTGTGTAAATCCACTGGCTGCTTTGTGCACTCCCTAAACCTCCCTTGTGCACGGGGCAGTTTTCTGTGTTATTTTTATGGCTTTTATTTTTTTCCCCTCTCCCTGGCAGCAAAGTGAATGCCACCTTGTTTGTGGCAAGGATTCACTCTGCTCTGTTGCTATTCTGGTGCAGGGCAGATGGGAGACAGGGTCAGCCCAGCAAGGGAAGGGCAGGAGCTACTGCAGGATGCAGATCCCACAGCCAGGGAAAAGCTCTCCAAAAACACAGGAGAAAGCCAATCCCTCTGGCAGCCTGCACTGAGACACTCCTGGCCAGGGCAAGGGTGGGCCAGGCATGACAGACATAAATTCTGCTGCTCTTTGTGTCCCCAAACCCTTCTTGCTTAGTGGCCCCCTTCCAGCATCTCTGTGCCTCAGTTTCCCCGTGTGTGGAGGGAGAGCAGTCACTCTGCCCTCCCCATCTGCTCCTTCCTGATCCCTGTGCCCATTCCCTGGCTGCACCCTGCAGCACCATTGGTGCAAATCCACTGGGGTGGCATTTGCAGTTTCAATTGTTGGGCTGAATTCACCTGGTGGCTTTTGGCCTGAAGTGAAAAACGTCCTCACCTTGTGAGGGTGTTCAGAGGGGTCTGAGGATGAGGGGAGAGAGGAGGATCTGACTCCATGTTTCAGAAAACTTGATTTATTATTTTATGATAGTTATTATATTAAAACTGTACTAAAAGAATAGAAGAAAGGATTTCATCAGAAGGCTGGCTAAGAATAGAAAAAGAAATAATGATAACAAAGGCTTGTGGCTCTGATAGAGTCTGAGCCAGCTGGGCTGTGATTGGCCATGAATTAGAAACAACCACATGAGCCCAATCCCAGATGCACCTGTTGCATTCCACAGCAGCAGATAACCATTGGTTACATTTTGTTCCTGAGGCCTCTCAGCTTCTCAGGAGGAAAATTCCCAAGGAAAGGATTTTCCATAAAAGATGCCTGCGACACTCGCCCCAGCCAAGGTGGCAGCAGTCAGGTGGATGCCAGTGAGGGTGGTGAAATGTGGCCAGGCTGGCACAGGCACCTTGGCACTGCTGCATCAGGAAGGGAACTGCAGGGTGTGTGCCCCACAGATCCCCCCTGCTCCTCCAGCTTCTCCCCAGCTTTGCTCCCTCCACGCTGCTCAGCCCACACACAGCAGATCCTCTCTGCAAGTGGCAGCTCCCACCTCATCCCAGGCAGCTGTGAGATGAGTCAGGATCCCTCCAGTGCATCCCCAGTGCCCACAGCCCCAGCCCTGCCACCCTCAGTGCTGCTCCTGCAGCTCTGAGCCTGCTCTCCTCCCTGCCAGGCTTCAGAGAGGTGTCCCCCCATTGCTGTCCACCCTCCCACCACTGCAGGGCCAGCAGGGTCCATGCCCTGGCAGCATGCTGCATGGTTGGCACCACCTGGGAGTGTTGTCTGTGGGCACGGTGTGAGTGGCACGGTGTGGGGGGCAGCTTGCACAGCTCCTCCCTGCGTGGATTGTGCTGAAAATCGGGCGTTGTGACAATGACAACGGCGCCCACACTCACCTCGGGGCGCCAGGGGGGTTCCTGGGGCTGGCACAGCTTGCCCTGCTGCTGTCCCTGTGCCACACTCACCCCTGTGCCCTGCCAGGGAAGGCACAGGGCCCTGCAGAGAGGGGCACCAGGGATATGGGGGCACCAGGGATATGGGGCTGTGGGGGCACAAGGGATGGGGCTGTGGGGGCACAAGGGATGGGGCTGTGGGGGCACAAGGGATGTGGGGCTGCACAAGGGATGTGGGGCTGCACAAGGGATGTGGGGCTGTGGGGGCACAAGGGATGGGGCTGTGGGGGCACAAGGGATGTGGGGCTGCACAAGGGATGTGGGGCTGTGGGCCCTGCACAAGGGATGTGGGGCTGCACAAGGGATGTGGGGCTGTGGGCCCTGCACAAGGGATGGGGCTGTGGGCCCTGCAGAGAGGGGCACAAGGGATATGGGGCTGTGGGGGCACAAGGGATGGGGCTGTGGGCCCTGCACAAGGGATATGGGGCTGTAGAGAGGGGCAGAATGGGGCTGTGGGGGCACAAGGGATGGGGCTGTGGGCCCTGCAGAGAGGGGCAGAATGGGGCTGTGGGCCCTGCACAAGGGCTGGGGCTGTGGGCCCTGCAGAGAGGGGCAGAATGGAGCTGTGGGGGCACAAGGGATGGGGCTGTGGGCCCTGCAGGGAGGGGCACAAGAGATGGGGCTGCAGAGAGGGGCAGAATGGGGCTGTGGGCCCTGCAGAAGGGATGGGGCTGTGGGGGCACAAGGGATGGGGCACAAGGGATATGGGGTTGCAGAGAGGGGCAGAATGGGGCTGTGGGCCCTGCACAAGGGATGGGGCTGTGGGCCCTGCAGAGAGGAGCAGAATGGGGCTGTGGGGGCACAAGGGATGGGGCTGTGGGGGCTGCAGAGAGGGGCAGAAGGGATGAGGCTGTGGGCCCTGCAGAAGGGATATGGGGCACAGGGCCCTGCAGAGAGGGGCACAAGGGATGAGGCTGTGGGCCCTGCAGAAGGAATATGGGGCTGTGGGCCCTGCAGAGAGGGGCACAAGGGATGGGGCTGCAGAGAGGGGCAGAATGGGGCTGTGGGCCCTGCAGAAAGGGGCAGAATGGGGCTGTGGGCCCTGCAGAAGGGATGGGGCTGTGGGCCCTGCAGAGAGGGGCACAAGGGATGGGGCTGCAGACAGGGGCAGAATGGGGCTGTGGGCCCTGCAGAAGGGATGGGGCTGCAGAGAGGGGCAGAATGGGGCTGTGGGCCCTGCAGAAGGGATGGGGCTGTGGGCCCTGCATCCCCCTGGTCTCTCATGCAGGCAGGACAGGGACAGGGCTGTGCCTTTGTAAAGATCTTTTGTGCCACGTCCTTAACCCACAGCACGGCCAGGGCTGGCTGCCAGCAGGATGTGTGCCAGGAAAACCTTCTCCTGCAGCCCCCCACAGCTTTAGCAGTCAGAGCCCTGCTAATCTCCTTGCCCAGGCCACAGGGGGCACCCGGGGCTGGGCACTGTGTGGGTGCAAGGGGAGCAAATCCTGCACAGCCAGGTGCTCTCAGCCCCTGCAGGTGGCCAGGGCAGGGTGCCAGCCTCCAGCCCTGTGCCAGGAGGGTCTCCCTGGCCATGGGGGAGCACTGCAGAGTGTGTGCCCAGCCCTGCAGGGCCCTGGGAGCCCTGAGCTGCACAGTTGCACCCTCGTGCCAGGCGTGGTTCAAGCTGGGCACTGCCCCAGTCTTCACAGGGTGACGTGTGCTGGGTGCTTGGGATTAGAGTCAAGCCTCTTGAGTCTGATTTAAATCAGATCAGCAGAGACAGCCCAGATTATCTGCCTTGTAAACAGGGCTGAATCTGACCTGTGGGTCTGCCCACATAACTGCCTGGAAAACCAAAGGGGGGAGCTTGGGGTGCTCTGGTCCAAGGGCAGAATTTTTCCATGGTGGACCTGCTAATACCTGAGTCACCAAAACCTTGTGAGGGCACTGAGCCAGCAGATTGCTGAGCACTGGACTTGGAGTTTAGGGATTCCAGAGTCCCTTTAAAATCCTGAGGCCAGTGCTTGGTGTCCTCAGCTTCCCTTGAGGCAGGGGTTTGTTCCTGGCCACCAGAGCTGCAGGGAGATGTCAGCTCTGTGCTGGTTTTGGTTTGCTTTGATGCCTTTGTCACTCCTTGGGAGCTCAGCAAGGCTGACTCTGGAAAGCAGTGAGGAATTGTCTGAGGCCTCCTGGTGGTTTCCCCCTCCATGCACTCAGGGGCATGGCTGGTGCTGCTGGGTGAAGGAAGGGGACTCAAGGCCGTGACCTGCAGATGAGTGGCAGTGCCTGGTGTGGTTTGTACTTTGCTTTTTTGCAGTGTGGGATGGCCAGAGGATCAACCCTGCCTGTCCCACGGTCTCCATGCTCAGTCCCAGTGCATGCCCAGGGGGTCTGGGGGGGCCACAACCTCTGAAAATGACCCAATCCAACCATCTGGGCTTTAACTCCCTCCCTGTTTGCTCCCACAGCAGAACACACAGCGCTTGGGTGTCTCTCAAGCAACTCACTCTCTGACCACACCAGTCGTGTCCGTGGCCACTCCGAGTCTGCTGACACAGGGGCTGCCCTTCTCAGCCATGCCCACAGCCTACAACACAGGTAAGACATGGCCAGGACAGAGATCTGAGCAGGTGGAACATGGGCAGAACAGAGCTCTGAGCAGGTGAGACATGGGCAGGACAGAGATCTGAGCAGGTGAGACATGGGCAGGACAGAGATCTGAGACATGGGCAGGGTAGAACTGTGACACAGGTGAGACATGGCCAGGGCAGAGCTCTGAGCAGGTGAGACATGGGCAGGACAGAGATCTAAAGCAGGACATGGCCAGGGCAGAGATCTGAGGTGTCTCAGTTACCTCTGACACAGACAGGACCTGGCCAGGACAGAGCTTTAAGCAGACAGGACCTGGCCAGAGCAGAGCTTTAAACAGACAGGACCTGGCCAGGACAGAGCTCTGACACAGACAGGACCTGACCAGAGCAGAACTGTAAGCAGACAGGACCTGGCCAGAGCAGAGCTCTCAGGTGTCTCAGTTACCTCTGACACAGACAGGACCTGGCCAGAGCAGAGCTTTAAGCAGACAGGACCTGGCCAGGACAGAGCTCTGACACAGACAGGACCTGGCCAGGACAGAGCTCTGACACAGACAGGACCTGGCCAGAGCAGAGCTCTCAGGTGTCTCAGCTCTGACACAGACAGGACCTGGCCAGAGTAGAGCTTTAAGCAGACAGGACCTGGCCAGAGCAGAGCTTCAAGCAGACAGGACCTGGCCAGAGCAGAGCTTCAAGCAGACAGGACCTGGCCAGGACAGAGCTCTCAGGCAGGACCTGGCCAGGACAGAGCTCTCAGGCAGGACCTGGCCAGGACAGAGCTCTCAGGTGTCTCAGCTCTGACACAGACAGGACCTGGCCAGGGCAGAGCTTTAAGCAGACAGGACCTGACCAGAGCAGAGGTCTCAGGTGTCTCAGTTAGCTCTGACACAGACAGGACCTGGCCAGGACAGAGCTCTGACACAGACAGGACCTGGCCAGGACAGAGCTTTAAGCAGATAGGACCTGGCCAGAGCAGAGCTTTAAGCAGACAGGACCTGACCAGAGCAGAGCTCTCAGGTGTCTCAGCTCTGACACAGACAGGACCTGGCCAGGGCAGAGCTTTAAGCAGACAGGACCTGACCAGAGCAGAGTCTGGCACAGACAGGACCTGACCAGAGCAGAGCTTTAAGCAGACAGGACCTGGCCAGGACAGAGCTCTCAGGCAGGACCTGGCCAGGGCAGACCTTCAAGCAGACAGGACCTGGCCAGGACAGAGCTCTCAGGTGTCTCAGCCCCAGAGGGAAATGTGCTGCTGCAGGTGTGCCTGGGGCTCCCTGAGCAGCTGCAGTGATGCTCCTGGCACTCTCCACCGCAGGACATTGAGTGCAAGGGTTCCACAGGACTAAAAGCAAGGGAAATTCATTGTGTCAGTGGTGAGAGCTCATTGTCATAGCCAGAAGGGCTGTGAGGGCTGATGCAGCCCATTGCACTGTGCAAGTGGGTGCTAATTACAGCTACACCCATCCCCGGGCTCTCAGAGCTCTGGGGATGTTGTAATAATGACAACAAATCCCTCAGAAAGTTTGGGAGGAATGCAACCCAGCCTGCTCCCAGCCACAGCTGATTCGGGTGCTGGGTTGGAACCAGCCCCAGGCGACAGTGACAGTGCACTTGCCCAAACACCAGAATTGCTCATCTCTCACCTGTCAGACCTCCAGCAAGGCTTTGAGGGCTTGCTGGCTGCCTGTGTAACTTGTTCTGAGGAAAAGTTTGCAACAAATGTACAAAAGCTGCTTGTCTGGAAGAAGGCAGAAGTGGCAGTTGGATACTCCCTGTCCTAATGAGTAGGTGCAGTCCCAGAGATGCTGGCTGTGCGTGATGGGGCTGCTCTCCTGCGTGACCATGTGGTTCACCAGCCAGCCAGAGTCCCCAAAATAGGTTTTAATTGAGCCCTGTGCACGGCTCAGAGCAGAGGAGCCTGAATTTCAGCTCTCTGCAGTTATTTTTTCTCTCAGCTGACCGTGGGCAGAGCTGTGTTCCTGCCCAGGTGCTGTGGAGGCACCACTGGAGGGTGCAAACTCTGAACCTGGCAGTGCTGCCAGAGCTGCCCTGTTAGCTGGGCAGGAATTGGCTTCATTTGTGAAGGGTCTGGAGCACAAGCAGCTGAGGGGGCTCAGCCTGGAGGAAAGGAGGTTTGGAGGGACTTTGTCACTGTCCACAACTCCCTGACAGGAGGGGACAGCCAGGACTGGGCTCTGCTCCCAAGTGACAAAGGGCAGGACAAGGAGAAATGGCCCCAGGGGAGGTTTAGGTGGGGTATTAGGAAAAATTTCTGTGTGGAAAAGGTGTTCAGGCCTTGGAACAGACTGGGGCAGTGGTGGTGTCACCATGCCTGGAGGGATTTAACAGAGGTGACTGTGGCACTTGGGGACATGGCTCAGTGGTGGCCTTGGCAGTGCTGGGGGAACAATTGGACTCCATGGTCTGGGACAGCCTTTCCAGCCCAGATAATTCAGTGATTCTGTGGTGCTGCAGAGGTAGTGGAGAGCTGCAGATGCCCTGAGCAAACTCCACCCTGGAGCATTGCCTGGAGCACTGCCCAGGACTCACCTGGTAGCTGGGTGGGTTCCAGGCTGGTGCAGCTGTGCTGAGCTGCCCTTTGGCCAGAATTCTGTGCCCTTTCCTGTGCTGGGGTGTCAAACCTGCCCCTTCCCAGCCCTGTGACCTGGGGCTGAAGCCCTGCTGGGGGCTGAGGGGCAGCCAGGAGTGTCAGGAGCTCCCAGAGCAGAGCAGGCAGTGCAGGGGGGTGTGGAGCAGGGAAGCCGGTGCCAGGATGTTGGGTGGGGTGTGCTGGGGATTTGGCAGCAGTTCAGCACCAGCACAGCCACCTCTGTGTGTGCTGCTGGGGTGGGGACAGCTGAAACCACGAGACACCCAAAATTAGAGCTAGGGAGGGGGAGGAGAGGGTGTGAGGAGGGTTTGCTGGGTGGCTGTGGCAGGCTGACACGGCTGACCAAGGCCTGACCATCTCCTCAAGGAGCAGCCCTTCCCTCCCTGGCTTTCTCCACCAGCATTCTTTGTAAAATGCCCTCTGGTTGGAGGTGCCCCACTGGGATTTTCAGTGGGGTCTGTAGGGAACAGGCATTGCCCTGCAAATGTGGGGGGGTCCTGGGGTGGGGGGTGCCCGTGGAGGGGTGGGAACAGTGTGGGGGGGGTCCTGTGGAGGGGGGGTCCTGTGGAGGGGGGGGTCACGGTGACAGCTCCGTGTCCCCATGGCGGGCAGGGAGCGCCCCCTGCTGCCACCCGGGACACGGCGCGCGAGGGGTGTCCCAGGCATGGGTGGGGCTGTCCCAGGTACGGCCCAGGTACAGGTGAGGGTGCCCCAGGTACAAGTGAGGGTGCCCCAGGTATAGATGAGAGTACCCCAGGCACAGGTGGGGATGCCCAGGTACAAGTGGGGGTGCCCCAGGTGCAGGTGGGGATGCCCCAGGTACAGGTGGAGATGCCCAGGCACAGGTGGGGATGCCCAGGTGGGGATGCCCAGGTACAGGTGGAGATGCCCAGGCACAGGTGGGGATGCCCAGGTGGGGATGCCCCAGGTACAGGTGGAGATGCCCAGGCACAGGTGGGGATGCCCAGGTGGGGATGCCCCAGGTACAGGTGGGGATGCCCAGGTGGGGATGCCCCAGGTACAGGTGGGGATGCCCACGCACAGATGGGGATGCCCAGGCACAGATGGGGATGCCCAGGTACAGGTGAGGATGCCCCAGGCACAGATGGGGATGCCCAGGCACAGGTGGGGATGCCCAGGCCCAGGTCAGGGTGCCCAGGTGGGGATGCTCCAGGCACAGGTAGGGATGCCCCAGGCACAGGTGAGGGTGCCCCAGGTAAGGTTGGGGATGCCCAGGCACAGGTGAGGGTGCCCCAGGTATAGATGAGAATACCCCAGGTACAGGTGGGGATGCCCAGGCACAGGTGGGGATGCCCAGGTGGGGATGCCCAGGCGCAGGTGGGGATGCCCAGGCACAGGTGGGGATGCCCAGGCCCAGGTGAGGGTGCCCCAGGTACAGGTGAGGGTGCCCCAGGTGCAGGTGGGGATGTCCAGGCCCAGGTGAGGGTGCCCCAGGTACAGGTGGGGATGCCCCAGGCGCAGGTGGGGATGCCCAGGTGGCGATGCCCAGGTACAGGTGAGGATGCCCAGGCCCAGGTCAGGGTGCCCAGGCCCAGGTGGGTGCCAGCTGCCAGGTTTGCTGCCCCAGGAGGGCAGGAGCTGTGTCTGGCTCTGTACATTTGGCTGGAGGGAGCTCTGGGGGGGTCTCACATGTGCATGGCCCTTCCT